TTAGTGAGCATGTACTCCTGTGTTGGAGCATCACCAAGTTGAAATATCGTTTATAGATTTGCTTGGGACAGCTTCTGGCATGGTTTCTTACATCCCTGATTGAACTATTGTTGTCCTGGTTTCATGGTGTTGTAAAGTAAGGGACATGCCAGTCCATGAGGTTACAAATTGTGCTTAAATCCTCATAGATGTCAAATTTTGATCTGTTCACAATCTATCCCTTTCAGCTGTATAAAAGATTAGATTAGAAAGTCTTCCCATACTTAAAAAATAAATTGGAGTATCTCTATATTTTCATTGTGGAAACAACGGAATGGTGTGTTGTGGGGGTATTTTTTTTCGGTGATGTACTGAATCAAAGGCCTCCTCAGGTGAAGACAGAAAATCCCATTATCATTATTTCAAAAACAGGAAGTTCTCCCAATATTATAGATGACATTAATTCCTCATCCAAATGATTATGGTCATTCAGCCAACTGTGAAAACTTTCGATGTGCAATTTAGTTTCCTTGTTTCCCTGCAAATCAACATTGACCTCCCTTTAAGATAAATCCATTGGTTATAAAGTGCCTTAGGAAACCCTAAGGATGGATTTACATTAAAGAAAAATCTTCCTTCAGACACAACTTGATTTGGCGAGTGTCTTAAAGCAAATAAGTAATATAGAAACATCCTCGTGTAACATTGCCCAATTTCAGTGGCATATTGTAGTTTCCACAATTTTTATTGTTACATTATGTTGTTCAACTTACCAGGATTACTGGACTTCTGAATCTTAATTTGAAAGAAAGATGGGTCCTATCTTTTTGAAAAACTTTTCTTGTTTTCAATGTGAACTTCAACATAAATGGATTAATGACTTGAAGATAAATGGCTTAATATAGGGTTGGTAGAAAATAAGACATAGTAGTTGAGTTTCAAGATGCAATAACCTCTTTCAACACTATCATATTTGATAATATTTAACAGATCAGGTCAGCTTAGCTTTTAGACTAGCATATCTTAACTCCTTTATTTGCTAGTCAAAGTGCAAGCATAAGGCAAAGGTTGGTTTTATTACTCTACATCTTGTTGTAAATTATAGAATTCACATTAAAATGTGGCTTTTCAACAGTTTTTGAGCCCTTACCAAATTTTTACAATTCTTTAACAACAATATTAACATCTTATTTTGGGAATACAGGTTCACCATTCAATAGCTAATCTGCAACCTATCTCTATTGCTTGGTATCCCTCAATACCTTTTGATTAGCAAGTTTGTACCAATCTTACATTTAACATTAAAGAACTGATCTAGAAACAGCTCCTTCCTGCAAAAGAGCATTCCAACTTTCACCAACATTTGCTTCTAAGAGTATTACCAATTTAGCTCCTGAAGGATTTGTCTTTTTTTTTTCTTTATTCATTCATGGGATGAGGGTGTCGCTGACTAGATCAGCATTTATTGCCTATCCCTAATTACCCAGAGGGCAGTTGAGAGTCAACCACACATTGATGTGGGTCTGGAATCACATGTAGGCCAGACCAGGTAAGGATGGCAGTTTCCTTCCCTAAAGGACATTAGTGAACCAGATGGGTTTTTCCGACAATCGACAATGGATTCATGGTCATCATTAGACTGTTAATTCTAGATATTTATTGAATTCAAATTGTACCATCTGTCATTGCGGGATTCAAAACCGGGTCCCCAGAACATTATCTGGGTCTCTGGATTAACAGTCCAGTGATAATACCACTAGGCCATTGCCTCCCCCAAAGCATTCTAACTCCTAGCCCTAGATTCCCAAACAGGAGACATACTTTTTCCTTATTCGCTCTATTGTTTCCTTTTATTGTCTTGTAGACTTCAATCAAATAACAATATCACCAGCTAAATTGCAGGAAATACAACCCCTGTTTGTAATGTTGATCATACAGTAGCCCTTAAAGTCCAGCTATCATTCAGGTAAATCTATATCCTCCGAAGTTATGATGCCCAGAACTGATCACAGTATTCAAAATGTAGTCTAACCAGGGCATTTTTGAGGACATGAGAAAATAACATTTGATCCAGTGATTAAATTTCTTGAAGCAACTGATGTAACTTGGGTATAATTACTTTCTAAACCATTTTAGTTTTAAAACCTGACTGGAAGGAGGGTTTAAATTGAATTGCTGATATAATTCTAAAGGTTAGTGCTATAATATTTTATTAGTTTTTATTTTACTGTTTGCTTACTAAAGTAAATATATCCTTATCATGATGCTATCTTTCATAAAGGCATTTTCAGGAATGTGGAATATATTTATTTATATGGCCCCCTAAAATTCTAGGACTTTGGAAGAGAGTTTTATTTCCATAAAGTACTGTGCCCCATCAGGCCACATTCTTTTATACTCCTCTACACCTCTCAATGATTGCAATGCCATGGCTAAACTAAAACCTGTTCAAAAGTAATTTATTTGCGGTCAATGTCTGTAAACTGAAAAGTGGTCTGCCACTTTCAGGGATTAACATTCACAGGGATTAAGATTACTCTTTCAGATCATCGTGCTTAGTTCTGAGCATCACAGATCTTGTGTATGAAGAAAATTATTAGTACAATCTTTTAAAGAATTGATTCATAATATAGTTAGTACCAATTTTTGAGAATTCTCCAAATTACTTTCTTTTTCATTGGTCTTCTTCCCTTTCCTAATTATCATTTGACAGGTTTTTGAATATATTTTTGTGTTTGGATAGATTTGTTTAATCTTGACCAGACCAAAATTTTGAACTCAAATAATATATGTTCACCTCATGGAGATCATGGCATTTTAGACACCTCTTACCAGTATGATCGTGATTCTTGCTGAGAAGTTGATGGAATGTGACCTCAAGCCTCAGAATAATGATCTCCTTGTTGAACATGTTTCATATGTAAACTATGTTTGTGCCACATACATTCTAACTTGAATAAAACTCCAGCTTACCGATCTCCTCACTGCTCTTGCTGATCTACGCTAGCTCTCTGTTCTTCAGTGCATTGAATTCAGATTCCTCATCTTCAAGTCAGACCTTAGCCCTGCAATCCTTTTCTGCAATCTCATTCATAACTTTATCCTTTCTCAACCACCAGATTCCTTTCCCTCTGATTTAACATCCTCCACTACAACTGTTGGTGATAGATACTTAAACTGCCTCAATTTGGTGCTTTGAAACAACTTTCTTAAACATGTTTGCCTTTCCTAGACTTTTGAAAGTCCAAAAATTGACGAGCATTTACTATCTCCCCATCTCTCTCTGGTTTCCCATTTATTTCATTGCTACATTTGTAAAGTTACTTGCCATGTTTCCAAAGATTTAAAGTATAATATAAACACAAATGGTAGTTGAACTCCAACACCTTTTGTTTAAAGTAGGATTTATTTTTTTCTAGAGCTCCCTCTCCTTGATCCCTATTGTGTTAAGATTGTAAACAGTGATTTAGGTTATGACTTCTGTTTTAATGTGTGCTTCGAGATACTTCAGTTTGAGAAATTCTTAGTGAGTCATTGCAATAAATTTATTATAATGCATGCAGCTTATCTGACATAAAACGTCCTTTCAAAACCGAAATCATTTAAAAATGCTCATCTTCCAAATATTGAATTATAGCTGTGTTGAGTCGCAGAGAAGTTTTAAACAATAATGTGTACTTTAAATGGCGATTCACAATATAGAAAATTACAGGTGGCCAAGAGCGTTTCTCGTAGGGTGGAATGAATAGTTGGAGGGAGAACCAACCCCAGGCAACTCTTGCATGCCACCTAGCAGTCAGATGGAATGTGCCAATGATTGAGCAGTGGGAACAGGTTACTTGCCCTTAATCTTGGTCAACATTATCATAAGACAGAGGTAGACCTCTGAAATGGAGGGATAAAGTTTTTACAATGAAAACTAAGGCACTCAGCATGAGCTATTAATATGAGGAAGTTTGCAAAATACTCTTCATCCAAGGTGGTGTTAGCTCAGATCACTGCATGGCTGGTTTGTGATGCAGAGTGATGTCAATAGCATAAGTTCAATTCCTGGTCTGACTGAGGTTGCCATGAAGGATTTCCTTCCCAACCTCTCCCCTTGCCTGAGGCATGGTGACCCTTGGGTTAAATCACCATCCGGTGTCTTTTTGTAATGTCATGTCAGCCCAGTGGTCCAGTACCACTACAGCAACTTCACTTTTCGAATTGAGCTGCAGTATTTACCACACATTGTAAACCACTCTGGTGCTCAATTCCAATACTGAACTGAGCTTCCGAGCCTGTGCCTGTTTTCCATTACAAAGACTGAGCACTTTCAAATCCAGTGAATAACTCATTTCCATCTATAGCTCAAGCTATCTGATTCCTCATTTATTGCCCTTGTAACTGCTAGAAATGTTTAATCTGATGTTCTCTGAACTGCCGCCCTCTATTAACTTCAACTCATCCAAAAATTGATGTATGTATCTTGCCCCACAATATGTTCCAGTCTCCGAATTCTTCAAATTTAAGATTCTTAATCTTCTGTTTAAATCACTTAATGACTATGTCTCTCCCTTATTTATAACTGCTTCCACCATGGCAACCTTCTCAGAGGCTTGCGTTGCCTTAACCATGGCCTCTCTGTACTTCAGACTACTTTTGTCCTGGTATTGGCTACTGTGTCTTTAGCTATCTCTCCCACTCTGCACCTCATTTTCAAGTTCTAAGACCCTTAGAAATGCATTGTTTGGCAAATCTGTAATCGGTTCTCCTAATATGTCCTCCTTTTGCTGTACGTTAATTTCTAACAACTGCATCAGGATGTTCCTCTACACAAGTTCATTTTGTTGGAAGAAATGGGCAAACAAATCTGTGAAGTGAAACCTGAAAAAGTAGTGTTTTGATTATTTGTGAGAAACAAATCCATTTTGCGTTTGTTTATTCACACAATGAAATTTTTAGATTGAGGTTTTTTTTCATAAATGTGAATGAATATGTTTTGTGAATCTTTTGTTTAATGATTTCCCTTCTTATCCTAGATGTCAATAATGTTGCAGATGTGTACCTGGAGGGGAAGGATCAACTGGGTGGTTGGTTTCAATCCTCACTGCTCACCAGTGTAGCAGCTGAGAAACAGATTCCATATCGGTTAGTACTGTATTAATCAAATTAACTGGGCTATTAGCTTGTACATTTAATATTGTATCATTTCCTCCTGTGAACATAGTACACATAGAGCACATTGAACTTTGAAATTAATTCAGTAAATTTGTATATATTATATTAAACCTAAATAAAGGATCACATTGTTATTTCTTCCCTTTGTATTAGTCTATATAAATCCTTCCCACTTATACTTATGATAATACCTGCTGTCAAAGTGGCTATGAGGACCTTTAATTTTCAGAGCGACGGCTATGAAAAGGGAATGTGACTTGCCGTCTTCTGACAATGTTATGCTTCAAAAGTACTGTCAGAGTGAAGTATGACTCAGTCTTTACAGAATCATATAGCACAGAAACAGACGCTTTGGACAACTTGTCCATACCAACCAGGTTTCCTAAACTGAGCTAGTCTCATTTGCCTGTATTTGGCCCATATCCCTCCAAACCTGTCTAAATGTCTTTTAAATGTCATAATTGTACTTGCCTCAACTACTTCATTTGCCAACTGGTTCCATGTATATATCACCCTCTGTGTGAAAAAGTTGTCCCTTAGGTCCCTTTTAAATCTTTTCTCCTCACCTTAAACCTATACCGTCTAGTTTTGAACTCTCCTATCTTGAGGAAAAGACTTTGGCTACTCACCTTATCTTTGCCTGTCATGATTTTATAAGCCTCTACAAGGTCGACCCTCAGCCTCTGACTCTCCGGGGAAGAAATCCCAACCTATCCAGCCTCTCCTTATAATTCAAATCGTCCAGTCTCAGTAATGTCCATGTAAATCATCTTTGCACCCTTTCCTGTTTAATAACATCCTTCCTACTGCACGGCAACCAAAATTATACACAGTGCTCCAAATGTGGCCTTACCAATGTCTTGTACAGCCATAACATGGTGTTCCAACTCTGGTACTCCGTGTTCTGAGCAATCAAGGCAATCAAACCAAATGCCTTCAACCTGTCTACCTGTGACACCACTTTCAAGGAACTATGTACCTGTGCTCCAGGGTCTCTCAGTTCGACACTACTCACCAGGGCCCTACCATTTAACTGTGTAAATCCTGCCCTGTCTTGTCTTACCAAAATGCAACACTTCGCTTTCATCTACATTGAACTCCATCTGCTAATCCTTGACCCACTGGCCCAGTTGATCAAGATTCCCCTGTACTCTTAGATAACCTCCTTCACTGTCCACAAAACCATCAGTCTTAGTATTATCCGCAAACTAACTAACCATGCTTCCTATATTCTCATTTAAATAATTTACATAAATGACGAACAACAGTGCAGCCCGTTCAGATCCTTGCGGCACACAACTGGTCACAGGCCTCCAGTCTGAACCCTCTACCGCCATCATCTCTCGTACTGTCAAGCCAATTTTGTATCCAATTGGCTAGCTGTCCCTGGATTCCATGCGATCTAACCTTACTAACCAGTCTACTATGCAGAGTATTGCTGATGACCTTACTAAAGTCCACGTAGACAATGTCTACCACACTACCCTTATCTATCATCTTGGCCACATCTTCAAAAAACTCAAATCAAGTTTGAGAGACATGATTTCCCAAACACACAGCCATGTAGACTATCCCTAATCAGTCCTTGCCTTTCCAAATGCATGTAGATCCTGTCTGTCAGAATCCCTTACAACAACTTGCCACCAGTGAGGTCAGGCTCACCGGTCTGAAGTTCCCTGGCTTATACTTGCGGTCTTTCTTAAACAATGGCACAGCATTAGCCACCCTCTAGTCTACTGGCACCTCACCTGTGGCTGTCAGTGAAACAAATATCTGTGCTAGGGGTCCTGCAATTTCCTCCCTAACTTCCCACAATATCCTGGAATAGACTTGATCAGGTCCCAGGGATTCATCTACCTTTTTGTGCTTTTAAGATCTCCAGAACACCACTTATGTAATGTGGGTTCTTTTTGAGACATCATGATTTACTTCCCCAAGTTCCCTAGTTTCCATGCCTTTCTCCACTGTAAATATTGACATGAAATATTTGTTTAGGATCTCATCCATTTCCTGTGGTTCCATATGTAAATGACCTCATTGACCTTAAAGGGTCCTATTGTCTCCCTATTACTCTTTGCCCTGAATATGCTTTTAGAATCTTTTTGGATTCTCCTTAACCTTATCTGTCAAAGCTATCTCATGTCCCCTTTTTGTCCTCTTGATTTCCTTCTTAAGTGTACTCGTACACCTCCTATACTCCTCAAGAGATTCACTTGATCCCACCTGTCTGTACCTGACATATGCCTCCTTTTTCTTCATCAGAGCGTCAATATCTCTAGTCATCCAGTATTCTGTACTCCTGCCAGCCTTGCCCTTCACACTAACATGCTGTCCCTGAACTCTCATTGTCTCACTTTTCAAAGCCTCCCACTTGCCTTTATGTCCCTTTACCTGGGAACAGCCTCCCCCAGTCAACTTTTCAAAGTTCCTGTCAAATACAATGAAAATTGGCCTTGCCCAATTTAGAAATTTAACTTGTACATCAGGCCTATCCTTTTCCATAACTATTTTAAAATTAATCGAATTATGGTCAGTGGTCCCAAAGTGCTCCCCCACTAGCACCTCAGTCACTTGCCCTGCCTTATTTCACAAGAGTGTGTTGAGATTTGCCCCTTCTCTAGTAGGACCATCTAATATTGATTGAGAAAGTTTCTTGAACACACTTAAATTCCTCCCCATCCATGCCCTTCATACTATGGCAGTCCCAGTCTGTGTTTGGCAAGTTAAAATTCTCTGCTGTTTTACAACCCCATTATCCTTACAGCTACCTGCAATCTCCCTCATATTTGCTCTTCAATTTTCCACTGACTATTTGGGGCCTATAGTAAAATCCATCAAAGTGATCACCCACTTCTTGTTTTCCAGTTCCACCCATGAAGCTTTACTGGACGATCCCCCAGGAATATTGTCTCTAAGTACTGTTGTGATTTTTTTTCCCCCTAATCAAAAACGCCATTCCCCCTCCTGTCCTTCCCATAGCATCTAGACCCCAGAACATGGAGCTGTAAGTCCTGTCCCCTCTCAGCCATGTTTCTGTTATAGTTATGATATCCCAGTCCCATATTCCCATCCATGACCTGAGTTCATGTACCTTATCTGTCAGGCCTCTCACATCGTAAAAATGCATTTTAATTCATCAGTCTTCCCTCATTCTCTGCCATATTCTTGCCTGCCTTATCTAATTAGCTTGCTGTCTTTAACTTCTTTACTGGCTTCAACCTTCTCTTTTGTCTTACTACAGCTCAGCCTCTTGGCTGAGAGGCAAGAAACAGGGTGATCGTAGAGGGAATGTCTTTGTGATTGAAAATCTTTTTCCTATATCAACATCTTGGGGTTACCATTGACGAGAAACTGAATTGGACTTGCAATACAAATGAAGTGACTACAAGAGTGGAATCTGCGTGATCTTGTCTCTCCTTGGAAAATCCGATTGCAATGGTCTTTTCAAACTGTACATGAAATGTATAAAGGAATGGTTGGAATCGTCCCAGCTCAGGAGGTCACTTGGCCTGTTGTGTCCCTGGCAAATCTCTGCAACTTATCTTGTCCATTCCTTGGCCTTTTCCATAGCTGACAAATTTTTGCCTCTTCAGAAAATTATCTGATATCTTTTTGAATACCACAATTGAAGCTGCCATCACCATAATCTCTGGCAATATATTGTACATTCTAAACATTCACTGCATTTGCAAAAGTTCTCCCTCACGTGACCTTTTAGCTCTTTTCCCTTTGCCTTGAATCTGACCTCCTCCAATTTATGATTCTTCCACCAATGGAAATAGTTACTCTCTATCTACTCTGTCTATGGATCTATGATTTTAAATACTTCTATCAAATCTCCTTTCAACCTTATTTAAGGAAAACAGCTTTAGCTTCTCCAATCTATCCATGCAACTGAAAATTTGTATTCTTGGATCCATTCTTGTAGATCTTTTCTGAACCCTCTGTCCTGCCTTCACTTCCTTCCTAAAGTGTGGTGCCCAAAATTGAACATAGTAATCCAGTTGAGACTGAACCGGTGTTATATAAAGGATCACTTCAACTTGCATGTGTTTGTACTCTCTGACTCTGTTTATAAAACCTTGGATTCCAATCTTTTACTAACTGCTTACCCAACTTGCACTGCCACTCTTAATGATTTGTTTGTATATAATCTCATTCTGTTGCTCCTGTATTCCCTATAGAGTTGTATTCTTTGTCTTGCGTTGCCCCTCCTCCTTCTACTTCCAAAAGTGTATCACTTCACACTTTTTCGGCTTTATATAGCATCTACCATGTGTCTACTTTTTCCATCAGGCTCACTGTGTCCTCTTGAAGTCTATTCCTTGCCTTCTCACAGTTCCCAATATAAAAGTTTTGTAGTTTTCATACAGTTTGAAAATGAGCCCTGCATGCTCAATTCTAGGTCATCTTATAAGGAATATTTAAGTATGTGGGGCCTATACTCAATTCAATTTTAAAAAAATGAACGATGATCTTATTGAATGTAGGAAGATTCTGAGGAAGTTTAACAGGGTAGAGGGTTAAGAGAATGTTTTCCTTCATGGGGACTAGAACTACAAGGATGTTTCAGAATAAGAGTTCTCCCATTTAAAATGGAGACATGGAAGAATTTCTTCTCTGAGAGATGTTAATCTTTGGAATTCTGTCCAAAGTGAGCAGTGGAGACTGGTTCATTGAATATATTCAGGTTGAGTTATACAGGTTATTGTTCTACAAGGGAGTCCAAGGTTATGGTGGGCAGGCTGGAAATTGGTGGTAAGGCCATAATCTGATTAGCCTATCCTGTTCCTAATTTTTATATTTTCATGTTTTGTTCTTTTGCGTTGTACTTTAAGGTTTAGGTTGTGTATGATTATAGTCTGTGTAGTGCTTCCCTGCTGACACTTGATCCACATGACCCAGATCATTCCCAGAATGAGATCCAGCAATGCCTTCTTCTGCATTGGTTTGAAACGTATTGTTTGAGAAAATTCTCCTTAACATATTTCAGAAATTATTCCCTTTCTCTGTCTTGACACTGTTACTTTCATTGTCTATATTAGAATAATTCAGGCCTCTAATAAAATTGCTTTATAGTTTTTATGCTGTCTGTAATTTCCTTGCAGATTTGATCCTCCATACCTTTTCCAATTCATGGTGATGTATAGAATACACCCAGTATTGTGATTGTAACTCTATTGTTTCTTAGCTCTAGTCCAAATGCTTTCTGCTCCTGATTTCTCTAGAGCACGCTCTCTCTCCTGACTTATTTCCTGACCTATTTTTCCTGAAAGCTTGTGTCCAGGAATATTTAGAATTCAGTCCTGCTCTTTTAAAGTCAGATCTCTGTTATTGCCATAACATCATATTTCCATTTGATTGTCTGCAGCTACAGCTCAGCAACTATTTATCTCACACTGTGCATTCATTTACATACACAGTAAATCTAATTTGCATTTTATTGCATTCTCTTCTAATCTGATGCTATTTGATGTCATTGTAATTTTTACTCTTAATACTGTCTTCAATCTTTATATACCTTTTTTTCCCTTTCTAATGTTACCTCCTAGTGGTGTTCATGCCCCTGCTATGTTGGTTCAAACTTTAGGAGGATAATTTTACAAATTCACCCTGATAAGAATACTAGCCTATCAGGAATGTATGATCTGAATTTGGCTATAACCTGTTTTCTGATGATTTGGATAGACATTACAAGGAGGGATGCCTTGCTGTAAGTCTCTGAAGATATGGCTCACATAGATTTTAGTAAGGCTTTTGACAACGTCCCTCATGACAGATTAGTCAAGAAAGTAAGAGCCAAAGGATCCAAAACAAAATGGCATATTGAATCTAAAATTGGCTGAGAGGCAAGAAACAGGGTGATCGTAGAGGGAATGTCTTTGTGATTGAAAATCTTTTTCCTATATCAACATCTTGGGGTTACCATTGACGAGAAACTGAATTGGACTTGCAATACAAATGAAGTGACTACAAGACACAGTAAGAGGCTAGGAATACGGCAGTGAGGATGGGCAGTTCAAAACTAGGGGACATAGTTTTAAGGCAAGAAGAGAAAGATTTAAAAAGGACACAAGGGGTAACTTTTTTTAAACAGTGGTTCATGTGTGGAATGAACGGCCAGAGAAAGAGGTAAATGCGGGTACAGTTACAAAAAGACATTTGGATAAGTCATGAGTAGGAAAGTTTTGGAGGGATATGGGCCAAGCACAGGCTGGTGAGACTGGTTTAGTTTGGGAACATGGTCGTCGTGGACTAGTTGGACCGAAGGATTTGTTTCCATGTTTGACTCTATGACCTCCTGACGTCCCAGAGCCTGCCTACCATCTACAAGGCAAATGAGGAGTGTTATGGAATAATCTCCATTTACCTGATGAGTTCATCTCCAGCAACACTGAAGAATCTTGGCACCATCCAGGACAAAGAAGGCTGTTTGATTTGCACCACATCACAAATGTCCACTCCCTCTACCATTGACGCTCGGTAGCAGCAGTGTGTACTCTCTACAAAACACAGTGCAAAAATTTGGCAAAGATCCTTCGACAGCAGTTTTCCAAACACACAACCACTTCCACCTAGAAAGACAACGGCAGCAGATACATGGCAATGCTACCATCTGCAAATTCCCCTCTAAGTCATTCACCATCCTGACTTGGAAATATATCACCACCATTCCCTCACTGTCCTTGGGTCAAAATCCTGGAATTCCCTTCCTAACAGCAGTGTTTCCACCTACAATGCATGGACTTCAGCGGTTCAAGACGGCAGCCCACCAGCTCCACCTCAAATGGAACTAGGGTTGGACTATGAATGCTGATCCAGACATCGAAGCCCATGTTCCATGATATAAATGATGAATGAAACCCTCCCCAACAGCATGAGTAAATCATTAAGAAGTGGAACGGAAGTTATTATGTAATTTAACAAAAGTGTCTGTCTAAATTATTTGTTTTAAGAGTATTTCTAAAAGTTTAAATACATATGTTTATAAATTTACTACCTTCAAAACAGTTTAATTAGTAGTTTCTGGTTTGAAGCATTTGCATGGAAAATCCTGCCTTCAAAATGTACAAAATTGCAGAGTACTAAAGCATTTTTAGTGGAGGACAGGTTTTTGGTTAATAAGCTTTGAATATTTTATCCTCAGCAAATTGGTGGTCCATGGATTCACACTCAATGAAAGTGGTGAAAAAATGTCCAAATCCTTTGGAAATGTGGTAGATCCAGATGTTGTTATTAATGGAGGAGTGGTAAGTCATTATTTTGTTTCACCTCTCACAACAAAAAAAAACTTTTAATATAAAATTAGTTTTTCAAGATTAAGTAAGTTATTCAACAGTTGTGAACTTAGTAAGTGATCAAAAAACACTTCATTCATCAAGGCACTATATTTTCAAGGAATGCCACTGTGAAAGTAGGGTAAGATGGGCTACCTTCAAGGATATGGACCTTGTGTGGGTAGTGATGTATTTTTGATGGTACAAAAACAATGGACCAAAGGGCCTCTTTTGTACTGTATGATGCTATGATTCCATCTATGAAGGTTTCTTGCCATAAGTTTTTTTTTAAATTCATTCGCGGGATTGCGGCATCACTGGTCATGCCAGCATTTATTGCCCATCCCTAATTGCTCAGACGGCAGTTGAGAGTCACTACATTGCTATGGGTCTGGAGTCCTATATAGACCAGACCAGGTAAGGATGGCAGTTTCCTTCCCCAAAAGACATCGGTAAACCAGGTGCGTTTTTTCAACAATGGATTCATGATAATCATTAGACTCTTAATCCCAGATTTTTATTGGATTCAAATGCCACCAACTCCCGTGGCGGGATTTGAACCCAGGTTCCCAGAATGTGCTTGGGCCTCTGGATTAACAGTCCAGCAATAATATCACTAGGCCATCGCCTCCCCTGAGTAATTGGTTAGTAAGGGCGGTTAGTATATCAGCAGTTAAATGCATGAAGTGGCTCATTGTGATATGTGGTTACTTAAAAAGGATTAGGTCATTTTAAGGCTGCTGTGCTGTTCAATGAGATCATGGGCATACCACGTATATGCCTCAGATCCCTTAATATCGTTGGTGAACAAAATCTATCCATCTCGGAATCAACAATTGATAGAGCACCATTTCCTCTTGTGGAAGAGATTTTCAAGCATTTATAGTCCTTTGTGTGTAGAGTATTTTCTAATTTCACTGCTGAAAAGTCAAGCTCTAATTCTCCCTAAAAATTCCCCCGAGTCCTAGAATCCCTAAGTAGTTTGTTTGTGTTTAGCGGAGCTGTTCCCTTAATATCTTGAAATCATTGATCAAAGCCACCTTTCAACTTGTTAGTGTAACAAAACCAGAAAATGCTGGAGAAACTCAGCAGTTCTGGCAGCATCTGTGGAGAGAAGACAGAAGTAATGTTTCAAGCCCAGTGACCCTTCTTCAGAACTATCGAAAGTGTTCTGTTGAAGGGTCACTGGACTCAAACCCTTAACTGGGTTTTCTCTTCTCAGATGTTGCCAGACCTGCTGAATTTCTCCAGCATTTTCTGGTTTTGTTTCAGATTTCTAGCATCTGCAGTTCTTTGTTCTTTTTCTCAGTTAATACTCATTTTGTAGTTTAACCCTTCGAGTCCAGTTATCATTCTGCTAAATGTGTGTTGAAATTCCAAAGACATATTCCATTTTTAAGGTGCTGTGCCCAAAACTACTGCTTGTACTTTAAGTCCTCTTGATATAAGACCATAAGATATAGGAGCAGAATTAGGCCATTCAGCCCACCAAGTCTGCTCCAGCATTCAATCATGGCTGATATGTTTCTCAACCTGATCCCCTTACTAATCAAGAAAGCCAAGCATTCCATATTCCTTTTTGATTATTGTCTCCTCAGGACATATTAATGAACTTTGTATATGGACTTTCAAGTCTCTTTGGACCTTGACTGTTACTAAATTTTCATGTATCTTGTTATAATCTTTTCAAGCTGAATGAGCAGCCTCACATTTATAAGAGTCATAGCCGTAGTTTGGCCATTCACTTAATTTGTTAATATCCCATGTATTTCCTCACTGCTTGCAGTTACAGGGCTGTCTATCTTTGTTTCATCAACGAACTTGGGACTTGTGGCTTTTGTTGTAAGAAATGCCTGCAGCTGGCAATTTGTTGTATGAAAGAACTTTGCCAAATGCTCACCTTATAAGATGTTTTAAGATCTTAGGTGAAAAGCTGCCACCACTCACCCCTTGTAGTACAGTCCGTGGCTTACTAATACTTAGTGGTGAAGGATGACTATGTGCAAGCCATGGCAGAAAAGGCACCTTCTTGAGTAAGAAGAAAGGTTTCACTTTTCACATACAATAGTGACAAAGCAAGTTAATATAGAGTCAGACGACCAGGTAAGAACATTATCTCCAACACAATAGTCACTAGGTCTAAGCTATATGATTAACAGACCGAGCTCCACTCAGAGGTAGAAATGTGTGCTCTGGTAGGCCGAGCCTCACAAGCTAACAGTAACCCCTTCATGGCAATCACCTTGTCTCACAGCTTTTATCTCCTCATTTGAGTTATTAATAGGGTGAATAGTTTTGACCCTTGCACAGATTTTATGGGACACCACGAGTCACCACCTGCCAATTAAAATATCAACCCATTATCCCTATAGTATTCTGCCACTCAGCAAATTTCCTAACTAAGTGATTAATTTTTCTTCTAAGTATCTCTTATGAAGGACTTCATCACATGCTCCTGCAAGTCCAAAAAAATCATGTCCATGGTCATTCCCCTGTACACCACTGCAGTTTCTTGAACAAATTCAGATCTGTAAATTCTTTACCTTTGCCAATTCATTTGTGGGTTTTGCAATATTTCACATACCTGTTTGGTGGTACTGAATTTATTTCATGTCAGGTCACTCAGTCCCACAATTCACCACACTCTTGAATGTAGAATTGAATGCCAGAGGAGTGGTTCACAGTTTTATTTTTGACATCGAGGGAGCAGCTAAGTATATCTATGAGGAATCCAGGAAAATCAAGGGTGGATAAAGTCATTGGGTTAAACTTTCCAGTGGCTAGGATTATGTAGAGGAATGTGGCAGATTAGCAATGTTTACCATGAATGTGATGCTATATTAATTGATTAGATAAATGCTGAGATTTATTGCTAAGTGAGGCAGTAGCTTCTGTATATGGTAAGAAGTAGGAAGTAATTAAGAAAAGGTGAAATATTGATCAATCTTTGTATAAGCATTTTAAATGCATGCACCACATAAGTTGATAGCAATTTTATCTCTTAGTAGTGTGATAAGGATACTAAGAGATACTAAGATACTATTTTTCAACTTTTTTCTGCATACTTTCTACATATTCTTTAAATATCAATAATTATCCAAAACAATGTGTTATGTTTTGGCTAATTTTAAATATTCTATTTTGGATAATATTCAATAAATATTCACTTGGAGGTTGATATTCCTCAATGCACTTTGTCTTGTAATCTCAAGTAAAGAAGATTCTTAATCCTTGAAGCTCTTTATAAGTGAATGGAAAATTAGTTGATTAATATGCGTTTGATTGTCCTCAACAGCCTTAAATTTTTGTTTGGTACATAACATGAGAGAGAAATTTCTTTTCATCCAGCAATCAAGTTCACACAAATTGTGCGTTGAAGATTATAGACAGATAATCAACAAAATTACACATTTCATATGTTTTTACTTATGTTGTAAAATATTGACTGCAGTTGGTTGTGTTGTATAGGATCCAAACCAAGACCCACCCTATGGTGCCGATGTTCTTCGCTGGTGGGCAGCAGAATCAAATGTTTTCACGGAGATTTTAATTGGACAAAATGTACTGCAAGCAGCAAGAGATGATATTTTTAAGGTCAGACCTAAGAAAAGATGAACTCTGAAGTTCTTGTTTTGCTAAAACTAAGTTTTTTTTTTTCCTGTTAGCAATAAGATGTACATAACCCCTCAGATTTCAGATGTTTTATTATTACTTTTATGACTTGAATTTATATAGCAGCCTTTCTGTTCATTTGAAATGCCATGTGTTAGTCTCAGTTGAGGTTGAATGATGGACCATGTTGATGAAGGACCGTACAGGAAATCTGGTGAATTTGCACGAGAGTGGTACTGCACATTAGAGCATTGGGATGCAGGTTTTATCTTCATTGTGTTTGGTTTTCAATCCAGGCTACATTGCATGGGTGGATGTTGGGCAGGGAGCCATGACACATCCTGCAGTTGGCAGTAGAAGTTGAATAAATCAGTTTTCACCAAAGTTGCTGTTGTGCATCTTCTGGTCTGGCAGCCAATTCAATTGAAGACTAACTGAGCTCTGAAAGCCGGCAGCATCAAAAGGAATGGGAACTTCAAGCCACTGAACAACCCACCACTGCTGCTCACGGTCTGCTTTCAATAACATGAAAGGACATGGAACGTCTCCTGCGAAACAGCTCGAGTCCCACCCTGGAAACAGTAATGTTTCCATGAACGAGCAGATCTTCACACTGGCTGCAATTGCTCTGGGCAGTTCCTGACCCCTCTTATTGAGGCTGGTTTTCAGAAAGACCTGAAGACATGAAATGCTTTTGTTGTCTTAGCCTATGCTGGTGACACTGTGTGGCACTGAGGCAGGCTGCTGAATTGCTCCAATTCATTTGCTGCGTGAAAACCTGACAACTAATCAACTCCATGATCAGCAACCAAGCAATTCCTTTTGTAGCTTGCAGACCGGTTCAGCTGTCGTGTATTATCAACAACAGACTCTTCTGGGATCATGCCTCATACTAGTTCTCTTCAATATATATAATCAGTGACTGCCCTCCAAAAAAGGTTGCAGCTCTTTGCAGATGCTAACAATTCACTCTTGCTTTCCGAGCTAAATGCAACAGAATATTGAAGAAATGCTCATTGAAGATCTAGAGTCTGTGGAAGCCCACTTCAGACAAAAGGAGACTTCAACTAAATCCTGCCAAGATTGTAATTTCAGCCTTCCACCTGAACAACTCAGAAGCCAGTTCTGTAGCTGGCCACTTGTCTATCAAACACCACAATTTCTTTGCACCACTGTCTGGCAATTTTAGAGTTTTTAAAGTTTTAGAGTCATACAGCATAGAAACAGGCCCTTTGGCCTACCATGTCTATGCCGACCAACAAATAGCAAACTACACTAATCCCATTTACCTACACTTGGTCTCTAGCCTACTGTGCCCTGGTATTTTAAGTACTCATCCGGATGCTTCTAAACATTTCGAGAGTACCTGACTCCACCATCTTCTCAGGCAGCACATTCCAAATTTCTAACACCCATCTAAGAGAAAATATTTTAACCCCCAGATCTCCTCTAAACTACCTGCTCCTCACCTTAAACTTATGCCAGTTGGTCCTTATACATGTCTGCATGGGAAAAGATACTCACGGTCTACTGTCTGTGCCTCAGTTTTGTATACCTCAATCTGATCCTCCTTCAGCCTCCTCTGCTCCAAGGAAAGCAAACCCAGCCTATTGGTCTCTCCTCATAACTGAGACTTTTCCTCCGAGCTAACATCCTGGTGAATCTCCTCTGCACCTTTTGTACTGCAGTCATGTTTTTCCAATAGTGTGGCAGCTAGAACTCCACACAGTATTCCATCTGTAGCCGAACCAATGTATTATAATATTGGAACAAGACTTCCTTCCAAGACTTTACATTTGTAGCTTTTTAGATGGATAACTTGAGATCTAAAGATAGATGTCATTTGGGGTCCTCAGGTCCAAACTAGTTCTCTGAAAAGCAATCCTGTCACAGTTCTATTCCCCAGTTTTATTCCCATAGCCTGCAAATTTATTTCCTTCAAGTGTCCATCTAATTTCCTTTTTAAATAATCGATTCTCTTCATTTCCACAAGGCAATGAATTTCAAATTGCAAATAATTGTCACGTAAACAGGTTTTTCCTCTCATCGCTCAAGATGTGTCCCCGAGTGCTCATATGATCAGCTAATGATAGTATGTTTCCTACCTGATGTAAACCTGTCATAATCTTGAACACCAACAACAAATTTCTCTTCAGTCTCCAAGAACAACATCAGCCTCTTCAATTTATCTTGAAATCCCTGATTCCTGGAACCATCCTGGTAATCTCCTCCGCACCCTCAAAGACTCTTGCATCTTTCTTCTGGGAGATGCCAGAACGGGGGCCATATTCATTGACCCACTGTCAAAGTCTTAAGTACACCAGAGCCAAGGTCAGGATGAGAGTGAATCTCATGTGAAACTGGCAAGTACCACCTGAGACAAAGCCAGCACGCTAAATACTGTTTCACTTACCTTGCTTACCTAACAATAGAGAACCACTGCTAAGTGGGCTTAGAAGCTGGCAGACAAATATACATTTCCACCTCCAGAAAGGATTATTTTTGCGACATTAAGATCAGTGCAGCTTGCGTGGTTTACACAGAGTGAATCTCCAGACATTCCTCGGGAAAACATCCTCCTCAAAGAACACTATTGGCTGACAGCTAACAAAGCACAGGACCTTGAGAAAAACCAATGCACCCATCTCAACTCCTATGTTCTCTACTGAACACACTTCACACCCTGCAAACTGAAGAAAGACCCACTTCTCTATGATGCACCTCCTGGTTAACTGCAAGCATCATCAGCTACAACCAAGTAACTGATCTGGGTGACAACAAGTCAGATTTGAACTTCCCACAGAAAATCTGGACAACTGTCATCCGTTTGAAGATGGGCAAAGGGAGACGTGAAACCCCACAGTGGAACAGGAGGAGCAGCTCAAATTACAACTGTGGCCATCCAAGCCAATCCATTGCTCATATCTGAACTTTTGTCCCGAGATCGATTTGTGGTTTTATCACAACCATTTGCACTGGCATTAGTTGATGCCATTAAATGATCGTTATTGAGCTATAACTGCTTACCCAGACATTTAAATAAAAAATCTAATTGGCAACACGTGAGGGTGGCGTACTTTTTATTTTATGGCAGATATGCTGAGGAGAAAGATCTTTTTGTGTAAATAAAATAATATTAGAACATAACAAATGTAAATGGGAGCAGTAGTAGGCCATTTAGCCCTCTGCCCATTCACAGAGTTCGTGGCTGATCTTCCACTTCAACATCATTTTCCAGCATTATCCTTGATCCTTGATTTGACAAGTAAATTTTCATATCCACAGGCTTTTGGATTAGTAGCAAAAGGAAACCAGTGCATGATTAGAATGAAAATCCATCACCTGGAGATTTGGGCACTTAGTGTGGTGCACCTGCACATACTAGAAGCTACATATATTAACACGAGACCCAGTTCTTTACAGATAGAACACAGTGTGCTTATTACAACTTAACAAAATAAGTAACGGCCATTCTCCAGTTTATTCCTCATGGTAATGACTTGAACATTTGGAGTCAACCTGTCTGGTTTACATTTTAAACAAAACTTGGCAGTTAACAACCAGTCTTCATCTAACTGGTGTATTATCTGTACAGTTTTCTGCCTATCAGAGTTCATTCAACAAACAATCAGCACGCTTTTCTCACATGGTATAAACATGTCATCATCTTATTGGTATTCTTGCAAATGCTCTGAAGAGTACTACATAAAATGTTGCAAAAACGTGTGCCCTTTTTCAGCAGTATTTAAGTGAACATTTCTTGAATGGACTAGACGTTTGGAAGTATGGACTGCATGGAAGTGCTAAACTTGTCTGCTCTTTGAGCCATTGATATATGTAAACCATAGGTTGAATGGGTATTTGGTATTCCGTTCTATTCTATATTTAGTGTTCTGCATTCCATTTTCTGTTGCAGTGTCAAAGAGAGATACTCTTTGACATAATAGTGTCACAGAGTGTGATTATTCAACGTCCTCAAATGAGAGGTGTTTGAACAGAGTGCCAGGAAGGATCCATCACCATACTTGTTATCTCTCCATGTCAGATGGTTCCAGCATTTATATAGCCACTTTTACATCATTAGGATGTCTTACAGTGTTTCAGAACTGATGATTAGGTGCATTTGCTGTTACGTTAAACATCATTTTTGAAAAGATAATTTTGCGAACATTTTGAAGAGGAAGGTATCTAGGAATTAGTTGAATAAGAGTTTTGGTGTTCCATCTGGCCTATTATAAAATCAATATGATGCATTAAGCAGAAATAGTTTGAATATTGCACGTCAACAGTTTCATTTACGATATGAACTAGGAAAAAAACATTAATGGCCATTATTTTAATGTTTGCAGTGACTTCTTTAGAAGTGTTCAATATGGCTTCATTTACAATAGCCAGAAATTTGTCATCCTTCAATCATACTGATTGTTTGTGATAAAGACCATCTCTACCTTGCCACCTGGTGAAGAAAAACAAGGGAGGCTGCTAATTTATCTTAATAATTTGTTCTTTATTTTCAGTTACGGAATACATTACGCTTTATCTTGGGGAACCTTTATAATTTTAACCCTGAAACTGATGCAGTTCCCAGTGAACAAATGCTAATGGTGGATCAGTATATGCTTCATCTCCTTCAAGATTACAGCACTAAGGTAATGCTCTGGGATATCAGTCCAAAGCCCCGCTGTGGCAGCTGGTGAAATTTGAATGCAGTTGATAAATCTGAAATAGAACCTCAGCGATAGTAATCATGACAACTATTGTGAATTGTTGTAAATGCCTGTTTAGTTCATGACTGCCACCTTGGATAGGAAAATTTACCATCCTAACTGTCTGGCTACATGTGACTCCAGACCCACAGCAATGTTGACTTTTAACTGCTGTTTGAGATGACTGCGCAAGTCACTTAGCCTGAAAGCAGTTAAGGAAGGGCAACAAATGCTGGTTCTGCCAACGACTCCCTCATCCTATGAAAGAATAAAGGGGGAATAAACACCAGATATATCCATTATCATCATTAAGGCACATGTTACAAAACAAAGAAAGTTATGAGTTCGTAAAGCACAGCAGTACATTATAATGGAATAAATTAGAAATTGTTGAAGAAAATCAGCAAGTCTGGCAGCATCTGTGGAGAGCAAGCAGAGTTAATGTTTCAGGTCCAGTAACCCCCCTTCAGAGCTGAACTATTATCAAATATTTTAGATGAGTAACTTTACACTGACGTCAGAAAAAACTGCAGTGAACCATTGAAAATAATAATGAATATATTCATTATTTATAAAATAGCCACAATTTATTAAGCTTAATTGTAACTTCATGTTAATAAAACCAGTTGAGGTTGGTTGGCTCGCCAAACTGGTTTGTTGTTCTGTAGATGTTTCGTTAGCATGCTGGGTAACATCCTCAGTGCAGCCTCCGATGAAGCGTCGGTGTGTTTTCCCACCTGGTTTTTAAACTCTGGAGTCTGTTGTGCTGGATTGCCTCGCTTCCGGTTTTCCTCCGTAGTGGATTGTAATAATACCTGAATTAACTCAAGCTTGTATACACCGTATGTGTGTGAGAAAAGGTTAAAATTATTGGTGACACTTTTTGTTAACTCAGTGTGATCTGGGTATCACTGGTGAGGGAAGGATATCTTGTGCATCAGTAGTCTAGAAATTGATGGTGGATTGCCACCTTTAACTGCTGCAGCCCAAGTGGTGAAGAATTCCCTACAGTGCAGCGACAGGAACAATTCTGAGATTTTGACCCAGTGATGATGCAGAAACTGCACAGTAGTTCCAAGTTACAGTAGTGTGTGAACTGGAGGAGAACAAGAAGACAATGATGTACCCCTGTGTGCTGCCCTTGTCGTCCTATGTTGTACAGATCGCATTTGCTACAGGTTGTTGAAGAAGCTGTAGTGAACAATTGCAGTGCATCTTGTAGATGGTACATGCTGCAGTCACATTGAATGGTGGAAGAAGTGAATAGTGCTGGAAGATGGGATGCCAATCAAGTGGACTACTTTTTGTCTTGTGTGGTGTTGACCTTCTTGAATATAATTGGATCATGCTTAACTCAAGCCTTGTAGAAGGACTTTGGGGATCATTCATGGCAGAATACACATTCTCTGACTTGCATATGGAGCCACAGTATTTAAGTGGTGATCCAGTTAGGTATCTGGTCCGCAATTACTGCTGGGATGTTAATGATATGTAATTCAACAGTGGTATTGTCATTGAATGTCTCTCTTGTTGGAGATCGTCATTTCCTGGCTTGTGTGGCATAAAGGTTATTTGCACTATTGATAAAAATTTCCTCCACTGTGTTGATGACTGGGAGTAGATTTATGCCAGAATTTGGCTGGACTGGAACTGTTGTACTTTTTCTGGACAAGACACAAGGGCACTTTTCCACACTGATGCCAGTGTTGTATCTATGCTGGAACAGCTTAGGTAGGGGTGAGGCTGATTCTGGAGTGCCAGCATTCATAGTATTGTCTGCAGCCAGGATGTTGTCAGGGCTCATAGCGTTTGTAATATCCAGTTCTTTGTAACAGGTGGAGAAAATCACATTGGCTGCTGACTGGGATCTGCTATTTTGGGGATTTTTGGCTCAAAATGGATGCAAGTGCTTCAGCCTTGTCTTTTGCACTGATGTTCTGGGCTTTTCCTTTATTGATGATGGAAATATTTTGTCATGCCACTTCATCCAGTTAGTTTATTTGTCCACCACCGGATGTAGCAGGACTATCAGGTCCACAGGTTGTGGGATTGGTTAGCTCTGTGAATTCATCTCACTTCTGCTGTTTGACATACATTATAGTTGTGTGTTGTAGCTTAACCAAGTTGGCACCTAATGTTTATGTATGCATGGCGCTGATCTTGGTGTGCTCTCCTTTGCTTCTCATTGAACCAGGATTGTTCCCCTTGCTTTATTGGTAATGCTAGATTAACGAAGGTGCTGGGCTGGGAGGTTATGGGTTATAGTTGAATATAATTCTGCTGCTGCTGATAGCCCACAGTGCATCACGGATGCTTAGTTTTGATCTAGATCTGTTCTGAATCATTTGGCAAGTGATAGTGCCACATGACACAGTAGACAGTATCCTTTGTGAAAAGGGCTTTTTATCTGCAGGGGTTGTGCATAGTCGCCTCACCAATTCTGTCATGGACACTGGAGTTAACTCCCCTTCTCCCTGACATAGTACCATGGGATTTTTCATGTCCATCTGAAAAGGCAGGTGGGATTTTCGTTTAACATTTTACCTGAAAGACAGTAAATAGTGTGGAATTGCCTCAGTATTGCACGTGAATACTGGCCTTGTGTTTTGTGATCAAGTCCCTGAGTGAGACTTGAGCCTGGAATCTTTCTGACTCAGAGGCAAAAATACTACCAGCTGAGCCAAGGCTGATAATATCAGACTGTCAACGCATGAGTGATGGCTGACTGTGCGGAGTTTATAAATTCTCTGCGTGTCTGCGTGGGTTTCCTCTTGGTGCTCCAGTTTCCACCCACAGTCCAGAAATGTGCAGTTTAGGAGGATTGGCCATGCTAAATTTCCTATTGTGTCCAAGGATGTGCAAGCTGGGTAGATTAGCCACGGGCAAATGTTGAGGGAGCTGAGTGTGGGTGGCATGCTGTTCGGAGGGGGTGGACTTGATGGGTCAAATAGCCTGCTTCTGCACTGTAGGGATTTTATAACTCACTGGAACCGTTCTCCCAATTTTGGTAGCATCTTCTTGGTATTAATGAGGAAGGTTTTGCAACATCACCTGGATTTGGTGTGTCTGTTTGAATTAAGACAGCAATTAGTTCTTTCTGAGGATTGTGCGATTTTGGAACTCTGCTAGAGAAGGCAGGGTCTTTGAATATTTTAAAGGCAAAGACAGATTCTTGTTAAGCAAGGGAATGCACATTTAGCAGGAGTAGGCAGCAATGTAGAATTTGAAACACAAATAGATCAGCCATGATCTTATTGAATGGAGAAGCAGACTTGAGGGACTAATTGGTCTGTTTCTGCTCCGATTTCGTATGTTGAATCAGATGCTTAGATGGTCTGCTGGATTATATTGTTATGGTTTCTCATATTGGTTTTGATACACTCTGATGGTTTGTCATTTCAGAGGGTAGCTAAGAATCAGCTAATTTGTTGTGGGTCTAGGGTTACATATAGGTCAGATCTGAGGATGGCAGATTTTTGTCTGTTATATGACTAAATTAGATGAGTTTTTATGACAATCTGGTAATTAACTAATCATTAGCCAAATCTGAAATGCAAAGCAGATATCTGTAATGAATTGAATTTGAACTTGTCTCTCCAGGTCAAGGGCTGACTCGTCCAGTAAGATAACTGCAAGGCTATCGTTCCCGATTTTGATGAATTGTTGACTTAATTGTAAAACACTCCACTCTGAAAATTACCCCAGTGGAGGTGGGGAAATATTGCTGCTGTGATTGTGAAATACATTCCATCACTGGGGTTTTAAATATGTCAGGATTTGATAGCAACAGGAGGGCAGTCTGCTAGTTCACTTCCCTTCGAATTAACCTCTATTTCTCAAATCATTCTTTATCTGCTAGAAAACCGCTGACATATGCCAGAGAGAAAATAATGGAGTCAGATTCTGAATGTTTAATAGTTTTCATTTTAGGAGCATTTTGTTAGTGTGAGGGTTTGTGATTCTGGTCTGAAAAGGTTGGTTAGCAAAACTACCTGAACGAGTATGAACGTGGGCCAAAAATTTCATTGGTAACAGAATTGAGTTAGGTTAAACTTCACTTTTCTGTTACTGTTTGTAAGTAGCTGAAATGTTTATATTTTGCAACAAGTATTTATCTGCAAAGTTTGTTTCAATTTTATTCAGGTTACAGAGGCCTATAAGGAGTGTGATTTTGGAAAAGTTATTCGCCTTCTGTTGGCATTTATTAACCGAGAACTGTCTAATTTTTACTTCAGCATCATCAAAGATCGGTTAGTAGAAGATTCATAACAGCAATGTTGAAACTTTATTTGCAAACTAAAAATCCATTTTTGCTAAGTACTTGAAGTGGTTTAGAAGTCCATTTAATCGTTAAATGTGTAGATCAGATCAGATCAGAAATTAGTTTACATTTTCACAAAATTTGTTTTCAGACATGGGCAACACCACAATATTGATATTTATTGACTTTCAATTGCTCTAAAAAGGCAGTGGTACCTTTAAACCACTACAGTCCTTGTGCAGGAATACTCACATAATGTTAAGTAGGGGAATTCCAGTATTTTGCTACAAGGGAGTGATGAGATACATTCATGTCAGGATATGTTACGTTGGGGTAATGCTATTCGCACAGTAGTTTCTCTTGACCTATTTGATGGTGGAGATTATGGGTGAGAGCTATACTGTCAAATTGCTGTAGTATATTTTATAGATCATGTGTATTGCAACCCATTGATATTCAGACCAATGTCAGGGCAGCAGTCAAAAAAACTGTTTTCCAGATAATGCTGCATATTCTAATCACTCCTGACTTGAGCTATCTGAGGAGATGCTCTAAAGGACTAGGGAAAATGAGCCAGTTTTTGGATTAACAACCTGTGTCCTGCAATTATAGCCATAGTACTGACATGACTGGCCTTGTTTAATCTGTAATCATTGCTGATCTCTATGATAATGGGGCAACTCCTGTGAGAGCCATCCTGTTAGAGGTCAGAGATGTATGGTCTTTCCTTTGGTGTCTGATGTTTATGTAGCATGCTTGTTACCTGTCATTCTTTAGAGCTGATTATACGTTGACTTGGGGTTCTTCATTAAGAGGAGTTAATACAGCTGATGTGATATTTTGTCTACTGCAGATATTAGAGTATACATGCCTCAACAACGTTGTATTAAAATTGCAGACTATATTGTGAAGATGAGAAAAGCTCCAAGCGTCTATCATGTCAGACAGTTCTAGATGAAGCATTAGATGTAATCACACGTTCTGTAGCCCCAATCCTGCCTCACCTTGCAGAGGAAGTATTCCAACACCAATCAAACCAAAAAGGTAACATTTTTTCTGTGCTGTTATTTGTATTCTAAAGTTCATGACTGAGGGCACAATGAATGCATATCTGAATTGTTTTCTTTCAGACCCTCAGAGTGTGTTTCGAACTGGCTGGATAAAGGCTAGTTCTGTATGGAGGAAGCCTGGCATTGTGGAGGCTATTGAAGGTGCTTGCGCAATAAGAGACAGCTTCTTGAGCTCTATACCTGGCAAAAACGCACTGGAATATGATATAACCATTATCATTGAGCCCAGTTTGTTCTTGGAGTTGATGGAGGTACTCTCATAAAGTGTAATAATTCAGTTTTGCTGAGAAGAGACCTGCTTATTGGAGCTTTTCATCTTGCATTGATTAGGATAGGTGTAAAGATGCCAAAATTCAAAGGGAATGACGCTTTACAGTGCATGAGAAAAGTATGTTGATTGGTTGACAAGTGGACTCCATTTGGTCAAGGCATTACTAGGAAGAATGTACTATACACTGGTTGAGGTGTTGCAATGGAAACATATCCAGAAACAATCAGGTGCAATACACGGTCATATTCTTTCCTTTTACCCAGAACAGTGTCCTGCATATGAATCTGTAAAGCTTCTACCAAGTATAATTGCTTGCCCAACTGATGACTTTAAATCAGTTTAGTGTAATTGTTTGCATACTTGGGATTGTTCAGTAAGTGCTTTCTAAATACAGAATTGCACCTGAAGTTGGACACTAGTTTGTAAACACAGGCTTTGTTAACTAAACAAAAACTTGGTGCATAACTGTTCCGTAGTGTACTCATCCTGGCAATGCCTCAAAATTTGGAGTCCTCTTACCAACCAGTCAGTATTCTTTTCTCATACAGCATAAATGCTCCCTTTGAATGCTGGTAATCTTCCAACTGTCCTGATGAGTGCAAGACCAAAGGATTCAACAGCACGTCTCTTCAACAGTATTGCCAAATGACAATAATTGTGACAACCGAAAGAACTGCGGAAATAAGAAACAAAACCAGAAGTTGCTGGAAAAGCTCTGCGGGTCTGGTAGCATCTCTGAAGATGTTACTGTTAACATTCCAGGGCCCGGTGACCTTCCTCAGAATTGAGTTTTGTATTGACGACTTAGTCTGTAAATCTTTGTCTTAGTTCGATTGATTATTTAAAGTTAAGTGTGAATTTAACCTGTGAGGAGGTCATTGAGATGTTGCACAGATTAATGTTAATGGAATATAATGTGGGAAGTTACTCATTTAGGTCTTAGAAATTTTATACCAAAAAATATTCTGCTCTTCTATTCTTAAGTGTTGATCAGAAAAATCACTAATACAAGGAACAGAAAGTTAGCATACAGGTATAACTAGCCATCAGAAAAGCACATTGCATGTTGGCCTTTACTGCAAGGGGATTGTGGAACAGGAATCGGCAAGTCTTATTACAACTGTACAGAGCTTTGATGGGATCGTACCATAAATACTGTACATTGTTTTCATTGCTGTATTTAAGGAATGATGTTCTTGCATTTGAAGCAATAACTCGGGCTGTTACAGTGCAGGTAGCCATTCAGTCCTGTGTCTGCACCATCTCTTGAGCATTTTAACTTGGTGTCAATCTCCTGTATTGTTTCGGTTTAAACAATCATCCAACATACTAGACCCTAACTATTCAGTGTGAAGCTTTGTTTCCCCCTCACCTTGCACTTGCTTCTTTCATTCAACACTTTCAAACTGTTCCCTCTGGTTCACGACCTGGAACAGTTTCTCCAGACAGTTTTGTCCAGACATCTCCACTATTTTGAAACCTTCTATCAGGCCTGTTTTCTTTCAAATTCTTCACTCTTTCCTGATAACTGAAGTATTCCATCTCTGGAACTGTTTTTGTAAACCTCTTCTGCAGTCTCATACTTCCTATAATGTGGTACCCAGAACTGTACACAATACTCCAGCTGAGGTCGAACAGTGTCCTATGTGAATTTATCGTAGTTTCTTGCTCTTTAATTCTATATCTCTATTATTAAAGTCTTCATCTGCAAACTTGAAATTGTCCCCTACACTCCAGAACAGTGAAGGTTCATTGGATTGGTCCCTGGAATGAGGGTTGTCCTTTGCTAAAAAACTAAGGAAATCAGATTATCATCTTTGGAAGATTGAGATCACAAAGGGTATTAACAGGGTAGATACTGACTTTTCTTCCCCCTGATCAAGGGGACATTGTTTCAGGATAAGGCATCAATCATTTATGACTGAAATACAGAAAAATTGAGAAGATTGAGAATCTTTGGAATCTTGTTACCGTAGCCTGTTGTGGATGTTCTTTTATTAAAGTATATTTAAGGTTGGGATTGCTTTTTAGTCTTGGAAATCAAGGATGCCCCTTTTATGCTGCGATAGCAAGAACTGCAGATGCTGGAGTCAGTTAACACAGTGTAGAGCTGGAGGAACACAGCAGGCCAGGTGGCATCAGAGGAGCAGGAAAGTTGATGCTTTGGGTTGGGAAGAAGGGTCCCGACCCAAAATGTCAAACTTTTCTGCTCCTCTGATGCTGCCTGGCCTGCTGTGTTCCTCCAGCTCTACAATTTGTTATTTCTGCCTCTTATGCTGTCTTTTACCCAGATCATCAAAGAACTAAATCTTTATTAAAGCTGGATTCTCTCTCAAACAACTCAGTGAAGGTCACCAGCCTGCAGTTTAGAAGGCTCGAAACAATGTCCTTTTTGATCCCTTAGAATGCCCACATGCATAGCAGAACCAAATTGTGTCAATCATGGTTTTTGGTACATGAACTAGATTGCAATATTTTTAACCGGGCTGTGCTGTATCGTACATACAAGCCAAAAATTTGAACACAATTTTGTGTATAGAAGACTCCATCTCTTGTTTAAAAATATAACACTTTAATTTCTAAGTTTACCCTGTTTTTGTGCCAAGCAACTACAAGGTGAGGAAATCTCCAGTACATCACAACTGAATGAGCTGATGATGACATCACACACTACGTTGCTTACTGCTGTTCCTCGTGACTTGCCTACAGAGACAGATTTTATTGAGGGCAAGTTTGAAATCAATTTAGAAGGTAAACCAGTCTTCCACTTTCATGTAATAGCCTAGCATTCTTGAAGAAACTTGTTGGAAGTATAAATTGGATGAAGAATTGGTTATTCACAGTAGAATAAATGTATTCTTGCTCAAATGAGCAGACTGCTATTAGGATCAGTTTTGTTTACTTATCTTGTGCTGAAAACTAAGACTGGAGTTGCAATTATTATGTCAACACCAAGACACGTTAAGTCTGTAGCATTAAGCTTGATTCAGTCATTACCTGCTGCCTTATTTAATTGATGTAACTTGAAATACTTGCTTCATTCTTAATGCAAAACCACACATTAAACACATAATGATGTTTGAAAGAGTGATTGTGCCTCAAAGAATCATGTTGCTGTGAAAAGAATTGATATTGTAATAGTTCATAGAATCCCTACAGTGTGGAAGCAGGCCATTCAGCCCATAGAGTCCACACTAACCGTCTGAAGAGCATCACACCCCAGACCCCCACCCCCACTACCCATGGCTAACCCACCTAACCTGCATGTCCCTAGACACCATGGGCACTTTAGTATATTATAGCCACCATGTCAAAACTGGTTAGGTGGATTGGCTCAGTGGTTAGCACTGCTGCCTCACAGCGCCAGGGACCAAGGTTCAGTTCCACCCTCAGTAACTGTCTGTATGGAGTTTGCATGTTCTCCCCGTGCCTGCCTGGAATTCTACCAGGTGCTCCAGTTTCCTCCCACAGTCCAACAATGTGCAAGTTAGGTGGATTAGCCATGCTGAAATTGTCTGTGGTAGTTTGGGATTTGTAGGTTACAGGTGATGGGGTTGGGGAGGTGGGTCTGAGTGGGATGCTGTTTGGAGGGTTGGTGTGGACTTGTTAGGCCAAATGGCCTGTCTCCACCCTGTAGGGATTCTGTGAGCTATGACTGAATGCTCATGATATTTTGCTGAATACAGTCAGGGTCATGATCAAAGTCAAATGCCTTGAAGATGTAAAGTGCATTCATTTTAAAGAAGGGAGGAAAAAAAATGTATTGAACAGAATTGATTTTCAAAACTAACTTCACAATTCTTGTGTGTAACTGGCAACATTTCCATTAATCTGACTCAGTAATTAAATTTAGTGTTACTAAAATTTATATTTGTCTAACCATATTAGATTATATTCCCCCACTGCCTCTAGCCATAGCGAGGAGAACATAAAATTGTCATGATAGGATAATAATGGCAAGAACTGAAAGAGGAAGGCCACTCAGTCTTAAATAGAACAAAATGTTTTATTGATCAACCATTCAAATGTTTATATATGAAGGTAATTATTTGTATTTGTTTGTTAGGTGGTGATATTATTGAGGAAACATCATACAAAGTAATTGTTCAATCAGCTACCAAAGAAAGATGTCTTCGCTGTAAGAAATACACATCAACATCAGCGTTAACACCCTGCCCACGTTGCTTGGACAGCATTGCTGGGAAGTGGAGTGTTTAATTTGTCAACAATTATTCCTGTAAGCACTGAATAAAGATGAATATGCACTGTAAGACTAGATTACACAACAGTCATTTCATCATTACCTTCCCACCTCCAAGGTTTTGTGTTAAATTTTGGTGGGGCTTTGTCAAAATTACCATTCCCAATTGGATATGGGATTCTGCATGTATGGATATGATATGTCTTCTGTTTCTAGAATTAAATTTTGACTATAGTTTTGCAGCTACTACTGTACAGAGGGAAGAATAATTACTGTTAATTTCCAGTTTTCCCTGACTCTAGTATTAGATAAGGTTTGTTTTGATATTTGCCTTTTTAAAATTGTATTATAGCAAGTTCTCCCAAACTGTATTAACTATCATGTCAAATCTAAATTGATTAACAAACTACACTCATTAAGATGCCAGCTAATACAACCTAATAGGGATCTAATGAATCACTATGTTGCTTGTTGTAACACAGCTTTGAAAGGAATTGTAATAAAGATTTTCTGGATTTATGTATAGAATTATTTTTATCCTTCTCACAAAGAAAATACAAAGTTAACTATAAATATTTAACAAGCAATATTTAATTTTCCTGGTCTGCTGTTGCTGTTTAATGTGTTATGAGTCTGATGAAATGGATTGATCCCTGCCAGCTACTAGATATTTCAGTTCTATGTGCAAGCACTGTGCTTCTTGGACCCATTGTATGTAAATGGTCAGAACGTGTTTCAAAGAAACTCTTGTTACTTGCTGTTACAAATCAGACAAAAAAAAAAATAAATTCTTTAGTCTACCTTCCATGACCCTGGTAGTGGCATAAGAGAACAATAATGAAGTTGTTGACTAATCCTGGCAATTGCTTTTGGCAACAAATGAGAAAATGCATTGGGGTCACTACTTCCAAAGATATCTCTGAAGCACATCCACATGAAGTCCCATTCATCTACTATATTTTAACCAACATTACCTACACCTGCAGTCCCAAGAGAGTTTGTTCCATAGATCTCTCACCTATATTTTGTGGATCAGATGTGAATTTATCCCAGTTCTGGTGCAGGTGCTGCTCTCTCGTTCAACAGTTCTCGACAAATTGAAATTACTAACTTAAGGTCTAAATTTAGTCTCTTTACACGGCAATGATGCCACTCACCCTTCTGGGTTAAATCCACCCAATTTAAACTCAGCATAATTCATTCTTTCAATCTTAATTATTGTCACTTCCTTTAACTATCACCAAGAAATGGACAACTTTGGCCTTCTTCCCTGCTCCCATGACAATTGCGCCAAGACCTCAAATAATTAACATAGCTTTTTGTCAACAAGTATCAGTACTCAGACATGGTAGAGCTTATGTTTTCATATAACTAGAAATGATTTATTTTTTATTGGAAATTGGATCACTAGAGTGTTCAACAGTGTGCAGATTAATGGAGAAAATGAAAGGGTGCTCCTTTTCTATATTTTCAAAACAGTGGTCGAGGTTTTACAGCATCTAGTAAATACCACTAAAAACCAAAAGAACTGCGGATGCTGTAAATCAGGAACAAAAACAAAGTTGCTGGAAAAGCTCAGCAGGTCTGGCAACATCTAACGTTTCGGGTCCAGTGACCACTGTTGTTTTATTAGTTAGCTGTTAATTTAGAAAACCTGTGCCTCCTGAAACTTACCATAATGGGAGGACAGTTATTTCTAAATTCTGCTAGAAATTAAAAAGAAAAATCCAGTATTCTGTCAAACGGTAATTTCCATTAAATAGCATGGTCTAGGGGTAAACTGCCAATTCCAGCTTCTATGCTAGCCTTAGTTTAAATGGGCTCTTTTGTAGCACACTGGTATTGTCCCTACCTTTGTGTGGCACTTGAACAAAGGCAGTTTCAGCATCAGCAAAGAATACTAGAACAGCCTGCTGGACACTTCTCCAATTCTCAACAGCCCTTTTCGCGTAATATAAAATAGAACATCACTGTAACAGCATATTTGTGTCCCTTAGCTACTACTGATAATCTTGATACTCCTAATCTGATCAGATTATTCCATTTACCTTTAACAAACTTTTTTTAAAATAGACACTGGTCAGTCAATTGGATGGCACTAATAAGATGCACTTACACATACTAACCGCAAAGTCAGGTACTATATCTCGGTGCTACAATTTTCTTTTGCTTCAGATTATAACACTTGAATTTTCTATATTTCAGTTGGTTCTCAATTAAAAAAGACTTTCACTTCAATGTTCAGTTCCTATTAAATACTTTACCTCTCACGTTCAAGCAATACACTCCAATTATTTATAGAAAAAGCAACTCAGCAGGGATTGAAGTTTTTATTTGGTTAATCAATAATTTACAATATTACAATTAGTTTCTACCCACTGATAAGGTTGGAAATGTTTCTGTACACACATTAGGGTGTCTGATCACTGTTCATTTTATTACTTATACAAATCCAAAAACAATTGAGGGAATAAAAACTTTTGCCTTTACATTAACAAAATAAACTCAAATTTTCCTTTGTTTTTGTGTGATACAAGTTGCGACATAAGGTTTTTTAAAATAGTCATTATGACTATTTGTAGAATGTTTGGGTTGTTTACTGGGAAAACAGGTTGCAAAATTCCTCCCATTTCTTCAGTTCCAATAGTGGGATTAGAAATCTAGATGTATGGACCATACCATGTAACTCATTCACTACATAATACCTTGAGAACAGACTTGCTTCAGATGACATTTAATCTGCGTAGCTACAGTAACAAATGGTTTATTCTAAGACTGATGCCATCTTCTAGCAGTAAAATGTGAGTGAGCTTTGCTTCAGCTGTATGTAAACATGGACATGCAAACTGTATTTGGGCATTAAAATATCTCACATCATAGAACAGAAATTGAAGAGTCTAACAGAATTTTCAGTACTCACCTATAACAATAAGTATTCAAGAACATGATTAATTGAAACAAATGGCTCATGGCTCATTTACATCAAAATGATCCAAGCTTTTAACAGCTGGTCATGTCTGAAGACCTATTTAAATAAAGATTGGTCAGCTCTTGTCACAAGGAGGATATGGCTTCAACTGCCTCTAACAGGTGCAGCACCAGGCTGTACTGCCCATGGTTTTCAGGTAAGAGTTCTATCAGTTTGCTCACCAGTTTAGCTGTTGCTATAATTGGCACATCTGTGTTCTGAAGATCGTGAGGATCCTATAAATAGTAGAAAGCAAGAAATTTGATCACACAATACAAAACAAGGATTACACCATAATAATCTTAAAGCTTTGGAATTTTAAAGATCTTCAAAACAGACTTTGTGACACCTAGGATAGCAGACAGTAATCCAGCAGTATGCTGATTATTCAGTGGAAGAGATGTGTACAGTATTAATAGTGGAGGATAATATGACCAGGTAAACTATTCATTATGCCATCTCTGGATTATAAATTCTTACAAGCTCTTATTGCTTGCTCATAGGCCTAGCCTATCATTTGTCACTTCATATCACCTCAAAAGTGAAGTCTCAGCAATGTAGGCTAAAACCTCAAAAACAGATAATGCATACTTGAAGGAAATAAAGCAGGAAAATGGATCTAACTGGAGTGGAGATCAGGATCCTGGTCTACAGGTTGCTGTGCTCTCAGTTTACACTGAGGGACTACAATTGGGGTCACAGTGGGGAAAGATTTAGGAAGCACTGAACTAGTTACTCTGTACAGCTGTACATAGTCTTGATGGCTGAATGCTTTCTTTTGTGCTTCCTTGCGTTCCATTTGGCACACAAAAAGCAGCAAATTCAGCATAAGAAACAGGGAATTGGAGGCATGTATTTTACTTAAGTATTTTGCACTAGTTCTGAGGTCATGGTACGTGTTTGAGAGCTAAGTTATTGTTGAACACTAAAAGGAAGTATGTACATCATCTACTCTAATCAACTATAATCCCCATGCACAGTTGCCTATGTAACTGCAACCAACCAAGCTGAAGCATTAGATTTGAGAATCATGGCTTAATTCTTCCCAGATGTCAACATCCCACGTTTGAGCCAACAAAAATTTAGGAAAGCAAGGCCTAATTGATTTCCTGCCGTTTATCTGCTGAGTTAATTCAAACAGTCAGCTGAATGGTACTCAGCCTTTAAACCTCCCTTTTCAGCAACTTGAGTACAAATCTGGTACATTTGATTCAATGATAGCTCATTGCTCATACAAGTAAAAACTGGGGATGCAGATATTCAACATAAAACAAAATCCTGAAGAAACTCAGCAGGTCTGGTAGCATCTGTGGAGTCATTAAGAGTTAACAAAGAGTCTGAATTGAGTCTTCAGAACTCTATGGGACCTACTGGTGACAACAAACTGATAAACATTCCTCACTATACATGAAGTGAAAAGCTCAAAGCTCCCAAATCCCATGCAAACTAGTTCATGGTTTTCCGTTAGATTTTCTTAAAGCAAAGACATCATGCTTAAAAATATAAAAGTATTTTTTATAACAGTCAACATGTTAAATGCTACATATAATACATAGAACCAGTTATTGATTTCTGTATTCCGCCAAAAGAAAGTCTTTCATACGTAGTCATGTCATTTTTGTTGCAATGTCTGTGTTCTTCTAGCATAATGTTAACTTCATTGATAAAATAGATCCGATACTCACCATAGCCTTAAGCCATGTACACAACACTGGTGGGAGTCTGGCCAGCAGCTCCATGCCTTCCTTAGTCTGAGTATGAAGTAAAGCATATGCAAGTCTCTGTCCTGTCAGTACAAGCAGTTGGGATGCCAGGACCTCTTGATCATGTACCTGCAGAAGGGCCTGAACAGATGATAAACTAGAATTAGGTTATAAAGACTCAGACTGAAATCTTTTCAGAGATAGTAGGAACTGCCGATGCTGGAGAATCCGAGATAAGGTGTAGAGCTGGATGAACACAGCAGGC